CATAAATAATTAACGGGACATTATTTATGAAGGTGTATATTTCGAAAGAGATTTTACAGAGCGGTCGATGTAGTACGTAGCAAATTTCACGTGGCACGATTGTGTGTTCGGGTGGATTGAAATTTTCATTAAGGCAAAGATAAAGAATTTTAAAAAATAATACAGACAATGCATTGAATGTCAATCAGATGAAAGAAAGATATTTACACGTTTTATATGTACATACGATATCAAAAAGGTATTCAATACCAAGTCTTGCTTTGCCATACGTCGAACACTTTGTGAATAGATATTAGTTTCTCGCGCAATAAATATTAGCACATGACATATTACATCAACAAAACTCTAGCTTTGAGAATATATAAGATACATACAACTGTGCCAGTTATCGTAATATGTGCTGTACACCACATGTGTATAGACTATACAACAAAAACTATATAACAAAAATTATAATATTGCCAAGAAGGAAGCCGTTTCTTGTGAGAAACACAACAAACGCTTCTCTTTGACAGATTTGAACAAAAACAATTTTGAATATATGTTAATTTAGCACTTTGATTTGAATAAAAGTTTGCTACGTACACATGATTTTAACTTGTAAATGTAGTATGTTTAAAGTTTTGAGTCAAGATAATGGCACAATGTGGTATTTTAGATACTGCTCATTTGTTAGTAAAAACAATAATTAACTAATATTGAAGCCGATAAGATATAAAAAACCAAGATACTGAAAATAATTTATAAACATATATTCCTAGAGACTTTCGTCACGTAGTGACATACGGATGACGTTCTTAACAATGTATTGTATGCAGATATAAGTCGTAAATTAATTCAAGATTATTGTAAAATAATTCTGCACAAACTCATGCTTCTTCTCTTTTGCAATCGCACTGTAATTTCCTTGCTCGCTATTATTTTATATACATATTACGCAGTAAATTGAAACATACTTATTTTCCGTGTAGGACTACGAACAGATATATTATTAAAAAAATCCGAAAAATCCGGTGCTTAATCTCTGTTAAGATAGAGCTATATATACAAGAAATCCAATTAAAAGAAAACCTAGCAAGTATACGTACCCGCGAAAAGACCCTGTGTGTCCTACATACGCGAGAGAGCAGAGTAATCCGCATATAGTCGCGCATACGGAATGGGCACACGTGCGGCTGAGAAAGAAAGTGCGGAAAATAAAGAAAATGTCAGTTTTATCTTGATTCGTTGGAATTATTAACGCGGTCAAATGTAGAATGCCGCACGTCGTAAGGATCAGCCGAAATCCAACTAAAGTAATTATTAAAGACCCGATATACGGTTGGAGCACGGTGTGTGACCCGGTAACATGGAAAAACTTACGCAACTCCGGGGAGGACTTATGTGCAACTTTTATGGGAATGGAAAATAATTCGTCAGTGGAGCATCGCGTTGCGAACCCGCGACGGTCATATTTCCGAGACGAAATTTGGAGAGCGCGTTGCGGCAAAGGGATTTTCCGAGAGTCGGAGAAATATATTTACAGCAAAAAGCAAGCCGTTTATTTTATTCCTCCATGAAATTGTCAAACTAAAGTGTTGTTTAAAGTAACGATTCAATTAGCGGCTGCAAAATGAATGAATGATTAAGTGAGTCGCGTCACCCAGGCTCTTCGAAAATATGCATTCGCAGTACAAACAGCGGCAAAATTTGTTTGTAATGCATGCAAATGTTTCAATACGCGTGAAATATTCTCTTTGTACATAGAATACAAGTGCAATGTTATTCAAAGAGCAATTTTACCGTAAAGCAGCTGATAACGACTTAATCGTGAACAAGAAAATTTCCTGATATTTTATCAATTTCGAAATTCATCCGTGTAAAAATATTAATAGTTGAAACGCAAAACTTGTTATATAAAATAAAAAAATACCAAGAATTTATCGCTTATGCTTTATAACAATCTGTACAATCGTACAAAGTATTGAATTCAGATTGAATAATGACATGTGTTTATGGGAGATACGTAATCATGATCGATAGAAGAAATAACAAATGCTCGTGACACGAAATTGTTTCAAAAAATGCAAACAAGCTGCTGAACAACATCTGTCTGATAGACATTTCCTATAAATCTCTGCAAAAATTTGGACGTGAAAGATGCGGCAGCGTCTTTTGAGAGGCTTACAGGCTTCGCGTGAATTAATGCGATCCGGTCTATCCTGATCTACGACAAAATCTTGTTAGTACACCTCGGTGAACGGCTGAAATTTGTGTCTGCGACGTTGCGACGTTGCGAAGACAAACGTATGCAATTAAATGCTCACGTGAACGATATAACAAGCAGAAATCGGAGAAGCGAGCGGAATATTTTCCGTGGCTGCAAAATACGTTCCGAATTAATGATATCAAGCTGATTCTAATTCGCGACGAGAAATTCAATTAATACGCCCGAACGATTAGCTGGAACTCATCACGGCAAAGAGCGAACAGATAAAAGATACGCAATTCGCATCGCTATATGGATGCGCAATATTAAAAGTCTCTTTTATCACGTCTTTTCGTGTCGTATAATTTACGCATTTAGCTCTGCATAAGACTTGGACTTATCGCGACTGTTTTGCATATAGTTGCACTGGATTTCAAATATAGAATTTCTAATTCATTCATTGTTTGATTCCCTTTGCACAAGTACAATCGAATGCTATTTCTTCTTAATTCTTTCCATTAAACATCTTAACAATTAAAACTCAATTTATAAACTTGTGTTATATTTATACAAAAAACAATATAGTATAAAACGAGCAGTGAGAATTGGCTACAGATTTGACAATAAATCAGCTACTTAAAGAACAAATATTTAACACAAAGATATACGCAATAGATATCTAATTTAAATTTAAAATTACATTTTTACAAATTATATTTCTCTTCTATAACGTATAACACATTAAAAATAAAATATTGCAATGTTAACAGTCGTATTCATATCACCTTTGAATTGCAAAAAGCGACAAATTACATTTTAACAAAATGTCACTCGGTATTTTTTGTAAATCAGGGACAATATAAAAAACTTTATATGTATGTTTTAATTTCACTTATACACACTACACTGTGTGTAAAATGAGAAAATAAGATACCTTTTCGTGACATAAATAACACGAGTCAGCTTTATTTGAGAACTCCTTCATAACAAATTCCAAGATGTTTTTAAAACACCTGAGCACGTCCCTTATCAAATTGATTGATTTATTATCGAGAAAATATATGTAGTCGAATATAAATATTAAAGACGCCAATTTTTTATTCTTTTATGCGCATTTTAATGTACTACGGAAAAATGGAAGAAAATGTCGCCGAAAGAACTCGGACCACTTCTGTTCATGTAAATCAAAAAGGTCTTGTCTACCTTGAGATTCAATTAGTATACCTCGACAACCGTTCCGGTGTTTGTTAGGAACGCAACGTATTGTAACGCAACAACCGACGTCCATGTCGGAGGGTTTACAAGGTGTGTCCAATAAAGGTTTCAGGGCTGCTGGAATGGAACATTGAAAATCTTTTACTGAGAGAATGAACTCCGCAGTTGTTAATTGTTACGGACAATTTTAAGCTTTCAAAAAATTTGATATGAATATTCCACAATTTTTATATTTACACTAATATTTTTTCACTTCTTAAATCTACTATATAACTATTTAACAATTTATTTAAAAAGAGCCATCTTTGTGTTATATTAAATATTAAATAAGTAAACATGCAAAAATAAAATAAACAAATTTAACGTTTAAATATAATCTTAATGATTTCAGTCACTTTAAACATCCTTATTCAAAGTACTCGCCTATTATTTTATTAAAATTTCTCTGAATTTAATTTTAATTAATTAAATTTAAAACATTAAACAGTTGTCAACATTTTTGAAGTATTTGCATTATTATAAATAACATTTTGCTGCAATTATTTTTATTTTTAATTATAATAATTAAAATTATGGTTCACACTCATGTTTGTACCAATAATATTTGAAAATATATCCCTTTGCACCAATCTACTTTTGATATAACGTCGTAATATACTTTAATATATTAATTATTTCTTTTTTGGTGTTGATTTCAGACGCAGCCACAAAAAAATGCCAAAAAAGAATCAATCTCGCGCGAGTACGAAGGATACTTGCAGACAAAAGGCTTTTTTCGCGAAAAGCGACGTCACGGTGATAGCCACCCGCACAATAGCATTCAATTATAACGCGACGCGGAAATTAAATAACGTTGAATCAAAATTAAACAAACGACTATTTTACGCTTTTCTAGGGATTGACGGGATTGATTCTAGGGGATGACGGTAGTTAGTTATTATTCGGCAACTGGTTCCAATTTAATTCAGATTCGATAAAAATTAATCTCGAAATAATAATTGTTTGACATCCGCATCAATATCAATCTGTGGCTCCTTGTTCGTCCCGATTTTCCACTTCATTCATTCAATCCTGAAACTTCTCGGACACGCCTGGTACCCTACCGCAGAATAATTCACGCGCGCCGTGCGCGAAAGGATTAATTAATCGCCGAAGGCAGACGCGTCCGCGCTTTGCGAGCGACAGTCATAAGGACTCCACGTAAAAAAGGTCCAAATCCCGGATTCGTGAGTTAAGCGGATTTGGCCGATCGGTCGATTCGCGGGTGTGTTCAATTAGAGAGAATGTCGAGAATGGAATTGCGCCGTGAAAATTTCGCCGCGGGAAATCTCGGAATGCCGTCTCCCCGAGATAACGACGCCCGCGCTCAGGATAAGCCGTCCATCAAGCGGGCGCCGAAAATAACTTCCAGCTGAAGGGGAGCGCAGGACGGGTGGAGGAAACCGCCACCCGCACCACAGGATCCAGTCGTCCGTCGTCTACGATCCACGACGTGGATCCGATCAATACACGACCGCAACGCGCCCACCGGATTCTCGCGGATCCTCGTCGGAGAATCCGCCGCAGCTACGCGCGCATCGCGTGGGACGGGACTTACGTGTCGCGGCACGACGTCACTGGATCGGATCGCTGGATCGCGACTCCGCGCACCGCGGCGGGCGTCGCACGATGTTGACATCGCGGCGGATTAATCCCTCCCGACCTCGGCCGCGAGTCCGTATTCCGCTGTGCTCCCGAAAACTGTGCCTGTGTTCTGCTGCGTCGTCCGTCCACCCCACGGCACGAATGTATCACTTTTCGTCCGTACAAGAGAGTTTATCGCTTCATCGTTGATTTTCACCCATCCCAGCGAATTCAAAGCGTTTCGATGATCCGCTGAGCGTAGTTCGATAAGACTGTCACTTTGTCAATTTAATTCAAATGATGGCGATTCGAGAAAGAAAAAAAAAAGAGAGAGAGAGAGAGAGAGAGAGAAATTCTCAACACGTCAAAACAAAAAAAAGACACGCGACGTCGCAGCAATGTGCGCGAGAGGCGTCAAAGGTTGACGGGCGATCGTCGGCCGTGAGCGCGCGGGTTCGACGCCGATCTCGTCGGGAATTGCACTGGCCGGTTCAGCCCTTTACTCTGTGGCGGAGGGGTGGCGGCATGAGAGAGTGCGTCGCGGGGAAGGGATAAATGGGTAGGAGGGAAAGGAGAACGGGAGACAGGGCGCGGTGGGGACGGTGGGACCGGCGTGGGAGGATGGAGAAAAGCCGTGGAGGGCAGGGAGGGAGCGGAAGGAGGGAGGATGAGGATATATACCTAGCAGCATCCACAGTGCTGAAAACCACCGTGGTACATTTCGCGTGGCTCCCACGAGGGACGGCGAGCAGTGGCGGCGGAAGCTGTGTGACGGAGGATAGGGAGAGACACTGAGTGAAGAGAAAAAGAGAAAGACAGAGACAGAGAGAGAGAGAGAGAGAGTGGCAGAAAGAGAAAAAGATCGCGCGTAAAGAGGGGGGGAGCGAGATGGAGCCGGTGGCCTCTAGGAAATTAAAACAAAAAGCATAGGGAAGCACATCGTGTCGCTGGAAACGGACTCGTACACACGCCGACGCGCTTCGTCTCTCTCCCTCGCGCCGCGTCGCGCAACCACGTCCGTCCTCCTTCCGTCGTCGGTCGCATCGGTTTCCCTTCTCCGTTGGGCGGTGCCACTTTTATTTCCCTTTATCGTTTATTACGAGTGGTACGTTGCCCGCCGACACGCTCGTCGTTGAAAAAGACGCGCAAGAAGGTGCCGACGCGTTTTCTCTCTCTCCCTCTCTC